TTCCCGGGGAGGAAGAGCAGCTCCGTCTTGCCAGGGTTCAGCTTGAGGTGGTGATCCGTCATCCATACTGATATGTCTGCCAGACATGCAGAGATGCGATTCGCCACCTGGTGATCAGAAGGGGGAAAGGAGAAGATTAGTTGTGTATCGTCAGCGTAGCAATGATAGGAAAGGCCATGTGAGGATATGACAGAGCCAAGTGACTTGGTGTATAGGGAGAAAAGGAGAGGGCCCAAAACCGATCCCTGGGGGACACCAGTGGTGAGAGCACGTGGTGCGGAGACAGCTTCCCGCCACGCCACTTGGTAGGAGCGACCGGTCAGGTAGGACGCAATCCAGGAGTGAGCCGCGCCGGAGATGCCCATTTCGGAGAGGGTGGAGAGGAGGATCTGATGGTTCACAGTATCAAAGGCAGCAGACAGATCTAGAAGGACAAGAGCAGAGGAGAGAGAGTTAGCTTTAGCAGTGCGGAGAGCCTCCGTGACACAGAGAAGAGCAGTCTCAGTTGAATGACCAGTCCTGAAACCTGACTGGTTTGGATCAAGAAGGTCATTCTGAGAGAGATAGCAAGAGAGTTGGCTAAAGACGGCACGCTCAATAGTTTTGGAAAGAAAAGAAAGAAGGGATACTGGTCTGTAGTTGTTGACATCAGTGGGATCGAGTGTTGGTTTTTTGAGAAGGGGAGCAACTCTCGCTCTCTTGAAGACGGAAGGGACATAGCCAGCGGTCAAGGATGAGTTGATCAGCGAGGTGAGGTAGGGGAGAAGGTCACCGGAGATGGTCTGGAGAAGAGAGGAGGGGATGGGGTCAAGCGGGCAGGTTGTTGGGCGGCCTGCAGTCACTAGTCGCAAGATTTTATCTGGAGAGAGAGGGGAGAAAGAAGTCAAAGCATAGGGTAGGGCATAGGGTAGGACAGTGTGAGCAGGACCAGCAGTGTCATTAGACATAACAAACGAGGATCGGATGTCGTCAACCTTCTTTTCAAAGTGGTTGACGAAGTCATCCACAGAGAGGGAGGAGGGGGGGGGGGGGGGGGGTGGGGGGGAGGATTCAGCAGTGAGGAGAATGTGGCAAAGAGCTTCCTAGGGTTAGAGGCAGATGCTTGGAATTTAGAGTGGTAGAAAGTGGCCTTAGCAGCAGAAACAGATGAAGAAAATGTAGAGAGGAGGGAGTGAAAAGATGCCAGGTCGGCAGGGAGTTTAGTTTTCTTCCATTTCCGCTCAGCTGCCCGGAGCTCTGATCTGTGAGCTCGCAATGAGTCATCAAGCCACGGAGCTGGAGGGGAGGACCGAGCCGGCCGGGAGGATAGGGGACACAGGGAGTCAAAGGATGCAGAAAGGGAGGAGAGGAGGGTTGAGGAGGCAGAATCAGGAGATTGGAGGGAGAAGGATTGAGCAGAGGGAAGAGATGATAGGATGGAAGAGGAGAGAGTAGTGGGAGAGAGAGAGCGAAGGTTGCGGCGGCGCGTTACCATCTGTGTAGGGGCAGAGTGAGTAGTGTTGGAGGAGAGCGAGAGAGAAAAGGATACAACGTAGTGGTCGGAGACATGGAGGGGAGTTGCAGTGAGATTAGTAGAAGAGCAACATCTAGTAAAGATGAAGTCAAGCGTATTGCCTGCCTTGTGAGTAGGGGGGGACGGTGAGAGGGTGAGGTCAAAAGAGGAGAGGAGTGGAAAGAAGGAGGCAGAGAGAAATTAGTCAAATGTAGACGTAGGGAGGTTGAAATCCCCCAAAACTGTGAAGGGTGAGCCATCCTCAGGAAAGGAACTTATCAAGGCGTCAAGCTCATTGATGAACTCTCCAAGGGAACCTGGAGGGCGATAGATGACAAGGATATTAAGCTTAAATGGGCTAGTGACTGTGACAGCGTGGAATTCAAATGAGGAGATAGACAGATGGGTTAGGGAAAAATTGAGAATGACCACTTGGGAGAGATGAGGATTCCTGTGCCACCACCCCTCTGACCAGATGCTCTCGGGGTATGCGAGAACACATGGTCAGACGAGGAGAGAGCAGTAGGAGTAGCAGTGTTTTCAGTGGTAATCCATGTTTCCGTCAGCGCCAGGAAGTCGAGGGACTGGAGGGTAGCATAGGCTGGGATGAAGTCAGCCTTGTTGGCAGCAGAACGGCAGTTCCAGAGGCTGCCTGAGACCTGGAACTCCAGGGCCTCCCTCACCAAAAAAATATAACTCTCCCAACTTCCACCTCAGAAACTATAATTGTTTCACTGAACCACCCGAATAAAACTCTCCCAACTTCCACTTTAGAAATTAGAATTGTTGTAAACTACAGCGGTTCAATGTTTCAAGGAATAGACTCAACTTACTTTATTCAGCTAGCTAACTATGACGCCATAGCTAACTAGCATGCTAGCATCCAATAACACACAGTTTAGCACCAATACTTGGTTACAACAAACTACCAATAGTGTGTTAACACACTAAACAGATAATTTGTGTCCGTGTCTAGTTCTTTCATAACGCAGCAATAATTAAACGTTGGCTAGCTAGCACAAATATATTGTATTTAGCTACTACAGTACAGCTAGCTGGTAGTGTTAGCTAGCTAGCAATGGCTGCTGTGTTGACTTTGTTTGAAAAACGGCGTCGCTGCGAACGAATGTAGCTGGCTAAAAGGATATTGTATTTAGTTGCTACCGTTGCTAATAGCTACTCGACAGCTAGTCCAGGAGGTGAGTTAGCTAGCTAGCTTCGTGCTACACCCGGCACCGCCGAATACAAAAGTAACCTACAATAACTACATACAACAACTACCCACAACAGCCCACGATGCCTACCTATAATACCTAATAATATACAGCCCACGATGCCTACCTATAATACCTAACTACAATCTAAATACATAGTTTAAGCCTTACTCGACAAAGCCCAAGCTATGTATAAAGCCAAACTTACCCGATGCCAGCTGTCTGATGCCATTCCATTTGCTCCGTTCCAGCCATTATTATGAGCCGTCCTCTCCTCAGCAGTCTCCACTGGTTAACCCTAATCCCTAACTCTATCTCCTAGCCAAGCTAACATTAGCAAGCTAGCTAACGTTAGCCACCTAGCTCGAATTTGTAACATATATGTTTTGCATATTTGTAACATATTGTTCGTTTTGTAAAAATTTAACATATTGTATGTTTTGTAAATTCGAAACATATAATACGAATTGTAATTCGGAACATACTGTATCAAACGAAATGGATTATGGACAACCACCAATTAATACATACCATACGAAACATAACATATCATACAAAATGGAGTGTCACGGATTTACTTACAGAATAATACGAAATGCTCTGAGACCAGGTTGTGCTCTGAGCACCTTGTTTGCTTAGCTAGCTAACTACATGCCAAATGGTTAGCCTTCCGTCACGTATCTGATATTACATGATCAGTTGATGTTTACTGATCATGAAAAGCATGCAGTTACTTGCTGTACACTCTGATAGCACTAAATGTGGAATAATCAGAAATGTGTAGTTCTGACTATGTTCTTCAAGAGATGATGATATTAAAACCAAATAGTAATTTATTTAACAATCCCTTGAAAAAGCACGTAGTTGTCAATGGTTTTAGCGGAACTGTGTTTCTCCTTGCCCCCCAGAAGCCAAATTGAACGCTCTCCACCGTATTGTGACATTTTATTGATAACGAACCATAGGTTTTCTATGGAGGATTAACAGTATACATTAAAATAACAGAAATTCCAATTTAAGTCAAAATTTCCTGATGTGTCATTTCAATTTTATTCCCATTTAGTACATTTATCGGACAGGCGGTCATCTTTGTGGTCGTAATTATAAGTTACAATTTCAATTCAATTTCAGTGGTCTGAAGGGATAGGTCCGTTCTATGAATTCTATGTATATGATTGAAATGACACCCACCCTGTATTCAAGAGCATGTTGGTTGTGTCTCAACCGATGGCGGGCACAACAAAAATGAAATGAAATACGGTCTAATCTACCAACCTGGTTTCAGACTATTTCCTATAATTCTGTACATAAATCCGAGACACTCCATTTAGTATGATATGTTACATTTCGTATGGTATGTGTTAATTTGTGGATGTCCATCATCCATTTCGTATGATATGTTACGAATTACAAATCGTATTATGTTACGAATTTGCTAAACGTACAATATGTTACTAATTTGCAAATGTACTATATGTTATGAATTTGTGAAACGTATGATATGTTACAAATTCTAGCTAGCTGGCTAACGTTAACTAGGCTAGAGGTTAGGGGTTAGCGTTAAGATTAAGTTTAGCTATTTTTTTTATTTTACCTTTATTTAACTAGGCAAGTCAGTTAAGAACAAATTCTTATTTACAATGACGGCCTACACCAGCCAAACCCGGACGACGCTGGGCCAATTGTGCGCCGCCCTATGGGACTCCCAATCACGGCCGGTTGTGATACAGCCTGGAATCGAACCAGGGGGTCTGTAGTGACGCCTCAAGCACTGAGATGCAGTGCCTTAGACCGCTGCACCACTCGGTAAGTAGTTGAAAAGTTGCTAAAATGCCAAAGACCAGACTGAAGCTACAACATATGCGAATATAACAAAAATTGAGTTTACGCGGTTTTAGGTAATTTATGTTGATATTTATGAAGAAAAATTATATAATAGTTTGACAACCCTGTTTTGTAAGCTTTTCAATTGTATCAATCTCAACCGTTTGTTTTCCAGTGAGGAAGACATGGATGACTCATGGTGGGGTGGGGTGGGGTGGGGTATGCAAAATGGGTCAAATGTATCTCTTGATTCAGTTCCAAAAATGCAGTTCCAAAAAGTCACATTTTGAGCACTTCTACAATGGGCAAATATGAATGGAAAGTTTTGTTCAAATCAAAAGGGGTGCTGTCAAAAAGTGATTGTATTCAAATGGATTTACCCTTCTGTGTTGTCATTGATTGTTTGTGCGGTTTACAGAAAAATACCTGTGTTCTGCCCGAGGACCTCCGAGACTTTTATCTCACAACGGATGGTTTCACCCTTACCTGGAGTGCCAAACTCGAGAGTAGGTAACCCTGACAGTGACACATTCAGCTCCAAACATCCATAGAAGAACAGACAACCAGTTCTTCTCTCTTTGACACTCTTTCCTCTATTGTACCAGATGAGTCTGTGCCTTTAGGATGCATGGTGCTCAACGGTGTGGCCAACTTGCGTCCTCTTTGCCAGTCGTCGTCAGTGTTCTCCCTCCCCAACGCACCCTCACTGGCTGACCTGGACTGGGATGAGGAACAAGTTGAAGGTGACACCACCTTGTTCAGCTACTTAGTGGATTCTCTAGTTTCAGCCTCCAATGTTGTTGTATGCTGAATCATCTAGCTATGGGTTCCTTTAAAAAATGTTGGACATATTGTAGAATACGGGGCATTGATGCAAATGTTCCATAAATTGTTACGTCATGTATAGATAGGCCTATCTAGTTAACAACAATAGTAGGACACACACATCATTCACACATTCTGTTTTCCTCAGAGTCAGAGTGTGGGCCGGCGGAGCCCCATTTTGATTCCAGGAGCCGTATCTTTGAGCTGGACCCCTGCAGCGGGAATGGCAAAGTCTGCCTGGTCTACAAAGACTGCACAGAAGGTACTTTCCCATTTACCCATGTGATATGCCACATGCACTGTGTGCGTAAAGGATCATGAAAAAATAAGAGAGGAAGACAATTTCAGTTTGCCATATTTAAAACCACACTTTATGGAAATGTGCCCATCATTATTTAATCACCCTTGCTCTCTGTCCCCTGGCTGTTTGGTTCCAGGTGTGGTGGCCCAGAAATGTGAAGTGTGGTTCCTGGATCGCTCTCTGTACTGGCACTACCTGACGCCCAGCTTCACTGCCTACTACCGCCTGATGATCACCAACTTAGGCCTGCCAGAGTGGCAGAACGCCTTCACCCCCTACGGCCCCAGTCCCCAGGCCAAGGTAATACATCGTTACCCCCTAGAAGGAGCGAGGCTGGGGTTCTGGGATTTTGTTGGAATTAGGCCAAAATTTAAGAGGGTACATTTGGTGGCTAAGAGCACTTGAAAATAGTGACCCATTGTTCTTATGTATTGCATGTAGATATCATTGTAGATGTGGTACAAATACATTTATTATAGGCCCACTACCATGTATGTAAGTAAAAAACTAAATCAGCACAGCCAAAAAGGTGATCCATTACATATAAGGTAAACATAGATTTTATTGTTTCTTTCAATGTACAATATATAGTAATGTCAAACATAACATACCCCAGTTAGGCTATGTATAAGCACATTCCGGCCACATCAGCTAAAACAAATAAGTCAGGGGATTATGCCTAGAATGAGGTATGTTGTACGTTGACCCCCAAGCTCTGACTCCATGGAGGGTCATTAAGTGCATTTGTTTCATTGCCCTGTCGGCCTTACATACCTTGACTAGGTCTCACATAAAATAATATTAGTATTTTAGTCATTTAAGTGAGTTATAGTAAGTCACTTAGAAATGGGTAGCTATACTTTTTGATTAGACAACTTACAATAAGCTTTGTTATGTATGTTTAAAACAAGTCTGTCTTATGAAAGAGATTTCTCTCAGCACGCAAACAGTAGGAAATAATGCCATGAGTTTGTTTGTTTGGTTAGTTAGTTTACCCATTGTGCTTGTGTCATCTCTCTCCCCAACAGCAGTGGGCGTCTCTCTACCAGCCCCTGAGTTTCCACTGTGAGCCCAGTATGGCCGACCTCGCCGGAGAGCCGCCCATCAACAAGCTGGACCCCAGCAAAGCCTTCCGGGGCAAAGCCAAGCTGCTCGCCCCGAAGAAGAAACAGTCGGCCCAGGGAGGGGGGGGGGGGGCACTGCCAAGGGGCAGGGGAGCTCGGGGAGGCATAGTGGGGGCAGGCGATAAGGATGAGGAGACTTCCCCCTCCCCCACCCCAAAAAACACATTCAATGGGCTATGGCAGTGTTTCCCCTGCATTTGTGTCTTGGGTGAGGTGAAAAGGGCCCGGAAGCAACATGTCTGGCTGCTACCCTTCAAAATATTGAAGCTAACGTTCTATGTGGTAGCTAATGGGGCTACAGCACTTGGCTTCTCGAGTAAGTAATGGCAGGGAAACGGCAGCTATGTATTATACCACTATAAATGCTTCTTCTCCTGAATGTGTGTGCATGTGTCTGTGCGTGCCTGACATGTTTTCTCTAGCAATGCTGCTAGTCCCTGTGAAGCCTTGCAGGCCATTTTGCTGATCCTATTTATTTTCCTTGTGTGTCTATGGCTGTATGTATTTTCTATTAAAGGCAGATGAGAATTGTTGAGGTTAAACCTGTGTTATTGTCGATGGCCATTTTAATGAGTCCAGATTTCCTCCAGTGTCCTCAGATTTGCTGCATTTGTTCTTTGAAACCGATACGAGTAATGAGCACCAATTACATTCTTGACATAGTCTCTCGCATTTTGCCATCAGTTTCAAGACTCCATGATTCTATTGGTTGAGGGGTAAGCTAAGCTGATCCTAGACTTGTATATGCAGCTTTGACTTCTGTTAGAGGTGGTCTCATTCATCCTTAGCCTGGGAGCCAAACTGAATTCATGCTCTGTTTCACAGTTGTTTCACTTTCACGATTCATTCTGGACTGCCTCCAATAGACTCACTTGGACTTGGACCATCGAGAAATTAACCAGTCCAATCAGTGTCCTCTCAGAACTACTCAGCACTACATCCCCAATTGTTCGCCAATGTTTCTGTTCCATTGGATCCTCCTCCAGTTACTTTTGGTGTAGCAAGTGTGCACAAAGATAGCTGGGGTGCCTCACACACACACCTCTGGGCCGAGGTTTTTCTGCATATCCAGAGGGACAGCCGCCTCCTCTGCCTCGTCCTCTAGCTCCCTTCTGTGTTCACAGGGGGAGGGGTGGTGCAGTTCCACAAAGACCTTGTAGACGGAAGCCCCTGTGACTCCTCCCACCAGGGGGGCAAGTACAGGTACCCACCACCAGCCGTTACCTGCCCTGCACAACAGAGAGCGAGAGAGGGAGTGTGGAGATTGGTTACAGTGGTCAAAGTCAGTCAAAAACTAACAAAAATAGCTTTGGGGAGTTTTGTCGTACATAATTATATATTGTATTATTTGGCAGCCATTGATCTGGATTTTGGCAGCCAAGGAGCTGGAGCAGTTTTGCCTTGAAGAATGGGCAAAAATCCCAGTGGCTAGATGTGCCAAGGTTTTCTGTTATTTTGTCTTATTTCTTGTTTGTTTCACACTAAAAATAATTTTCATCTTCAAAGTGGTAGGCATGTTGTGTAAATCAAATGATACAAACCCCCAAAAAATCCATTTTAATTCCAGGTTGTAAGGCAACAAAATAGGAAAAATGCCAAGGGGGTGAATATTTTCGCAGGCCCCTGTAACTACAATGTTGTTGATCCATCCTCAGTTTTCTCCTATCACAGACATTAAACTCTGTAACAGTTTAAGGTCACCATTGGCCTCATGGTGAATGTTAGGAAGGACACCTGTATCTTTGTAGTGACTAGGTATTGATACACCATCCAAAGTGTAATTAATAACTCCACCATGCTCAAAGGGATATTCAATGTCTGCTTTTTTTATATTTTTTATGCATCTACCAATAGGTGCCCTTCTTTGCGAGGCATTGGAAAACCTCCCTGGTCTTTGTGGTTGAATCTGTGTTTGAAATTCACTGCTCGACTGAGGGACCTTACAGATAATTGTACAGTATGTGTGGGGTACAGAGTTATGTTAAACACTATTATTGCACACAGAGTTCATGTAACTTATTATGTGACTTGTTAAGCACATCTTTACTCCTGAACTTATTTAGGTGTGAATACTTTCTGAAGGCACTGTAAGATAAAAAGCCCTTGCAAGATTAGCAGGCAAGGTTGGGGTCAATTCACTTTCCACTCAGTTCTGAAAATGGCCAATTGACTTTTGAATTCACAAATTGAATATAAATGAAATTACTGGACTCCCTGAACCAAAACTGAAAACTGAACTGACCCCCACCGGGTCTTACCCCCCACTCCCCTCAAGTCTTACCGGAACACCTCTGGCCCCCAGCCTGCTATAGCGGTGAAGATTCGAGGTCCCAGGTCGCGGCTAGGGTTGATAGCGTATCCGCTGTTGCTCCCCAGAGAGACTCCTATGAGCAGGACCAACAGGCCCACAACGATGGGCTCACCCCCCGATGGAGCAGGCTGGTTCCTTTGGTCAGACAGGGCCATCAGGCACAGCAACAACATGGCCGTGCCGATCACCTGGAACGCACACAGCGAGAAAACGGGCATTAGGTTGATATGTTTAATGTCTAGGAGAGAGGAAAACAACCATGATTGACACTATGGGGCCGAATCAGACTTAGGAAATGTATGCCTTTTTTAAGCATTCTGATTTAAGCACTTCTCAGTATTTGGTATTCAGACACCATATGCATGTGCGTAACATGGTTTGCGGGTGTGGCTCCCTTGCATGCACTGAATACGCTTAATTCAAACCAACCAAAAACACCTACTGGCCAATTTGATCAGATAGTTTTTCTTCAATATGTTTTTCTGTTCATTCATCTAAAGCAATCCCTCTAAATACTGTGTACCTTGAATTTGAATTTGATCGGCACAACATTAGAATGTAGCCTATGGAAAATGCATTCAGAATGGATATAAATTAAAGACAGTCGTCAAAACATGCATTTTTATCTCTGTTCAGAACCCATGTGTAGATTTCAAAACACTGATATTTCACTATATATGTTTAGGGAAGTTTTCATGAACCCTAGGCTACTTCATGGAAAGATTTGGAGAGCCTTTACGCAAAAAAAATAAAAAAATAAACTGTTTTGATTCATTCTGAAAATTGCCACATTCAGTTCTTCACCCCATGTTAATGTTGGAGGATTAGTGCACATATAATTATAATAGGGAGAATAGTGTACAATAGTATACCCTGGCCCATTGCCCACACTGACCATGGAACTTAAGGTTACCTAATGTATGGGGTTCTCAAAGTGGGGTCCGCGGACGAGGTAGGCTACTGCAGGGGGTCTGTGACATGTTTTAATATATATTTCATTTTTTAAATGAATATTACTAACAACAACAGATTAAACAACTTTTGTCCAAGGGATCAGTGGAATAAGTTTAGATGGTTTAATACAATACAATGTAATATTATTTAAAAAAAACAATTTATGTTCTTAAGCCTGGGAAACATGGGCCAAACATAAAACATAAAATGCATTGTAACGGCAAAGTTTTCTTTCTGCCTCATGGCAAAATGGGTAGAATTGCAGGATATTAGCTTTAAAGATGCAACAACAAAAAATCTCTCTGCCCCATGACAAAATGTGTAGAATTGCAGAAAATTAGCTTGAAAACTACAAAATAAATTCGATAAGAGGCAGGCCTTTAAAATGTTCCTCCCGGACTTGGTTCATCCGGCCATGCACTGCCGAAGTCATAGTAACACTCCTTGTATGCTATTCTTATCTTACTGAAGTTGTGTTCTCAAATCGAATCAAAATGTATTTGTCACATGCGCTTTGCAGTCATGGGCGGTGCATTTGCCATACCTAGCGGTGATGCAGCCAGTCAAGATGCACTCAATGGTGCAGCTGTAGAAACTTTTGAGGATCTGAGGGCCCGTGATAAATATTTTCAGCCTCCTGAGGGGGAAGAGGTGCTGCTGTGCCCTCTTCACGACTTTGCGGGTGTGTGGATCATGTTAAGTCCTTAGTGATGTGGACGCCAAGGAACTTGAAGCTCTCGACCCGCTCCACAACAGCCCAGTCGATGTGGATGGGGGGCGTGCTCTCCCCTCTTTCTCCTATAGTCCACGATCAGTCCACGTTTTGCTCACATCAGCCATTGAGAGCGAGATCACATAGCCATCCGGAAAAAGAGGGGCTTTCACACAAAGCACAATGTTATATTCCTCGAAGCGAACATAAAAGGCATGTAGCTCGTTTGGGAGTTCTGCATCGCTGTGCAACTCATGGCTGAGTTTCCTTTTGTAATCCGTTAGTGTCTTCAAGCCCTGCCACATACGACGAGCGTCGGCACCGGTGTAATAGGATTCCAACTTCCTCCTATATTATCCTTTTGCATGTTTGATGTCTCATCGGAGTTCGTAGCGGGATTTCTTGAATGCTTCCATGTCCGTGTCCTGTTCCTTGTAAGCGGTAGCTCTAGCTTTTAGCCCAGCGTGGATATTGCCTGTAATCCATGGTTTTTGGTTTGGATATGTTCTTATAGTCACTGTGGGGAAGACATCGTCTATGCACTTATTGATGAAGCCCGTGACTGTTGTCGTAAACTACTCAATGCTATCGAATGAATCCTGGAACATATCCCAGTCTGTACTAACAAAACAGTCTTCTAGACTCGTGTCTGCTTCATCTGACCACTTACGTATTGAGCGCATTACTGGTACTTCCTGTTTGAGCTTTTGTTTGTAAACAGGAAGCAGGAGAATGGACTCGTGGTCAGATTTGCCAAAGGTGGTACAAGGGAGGGCCTTGTATGCATTTCTGTGGGTAAAATAAAAGTGGTCTAGAGTTTCTGTTGGTAGAAGTGAGGTAGGATGGTTTTAAGTCTCCATGAGTTAAAATCTCCTCCCACCAGAAACGCTGCCTCTGGGTGAGCGGTCTCTTGTTTGTTTCTGGCCCCATACAGTTCGTTGAGTGCCAGAGTGGTGTTGGCTTGGGGCGGGATGTAGACACCCGTGATAATTACGGATGAGAACTCTCCTGGTAGATAACAGGGTTTGCAGCTTACCATTAGGTAAAATAAAAGTTTGAGAGCCCCTGGTGTAGAGGGCAATTCCACGTTAACGGAATTACGCTGAGACTCTGTTTTTTTTACTTTAAAATGGATGCCAAACACAACCATTTATTTCAAAGTTTAACAAACCATACAACTCTATGCACAATGATTACTTTTAACAATTTTGACAGAAACATTTACAAAAACACATTTTGTGGAAGATCTGTGCAGATGCAAACTTTGGTAGCAGAATTAAAGTAGAATCTTCCTCAGGTTTTTATGAGACCATTTTCCAAAAACTCTTTAAAATATTTGCTCCAAATTAATATTAAAAGATGTCTGAAGAAAGAATGGGATGTTAGCTATAACATGACACCTTGAGTTAAAAAAATATATTTTGGTTATTGAACTACAGAAAGTGACGTGGATTTACACCTGGTAACAGAAATAAGGTAACGGAATTACATCATGGGTCCCTGATCTGTACTGCACAGAAATGCATCATTGTGGATATGAATGTCATTCTCATGTTTCACAAGTTTGGACATCAGAGTGCAGCACAGTAGAGCACAGGTCTTACGCTTCGATCACACCGACAGCGTCATTGCATTTTGGTACACCAGAAGTACATTCATTTCCAATGGAACGCTGCGTTTGCCTTGCAGCATTCCACTGCAGAGGCAGTTGCAGTGGGTTCTGTGTGGTGCATACGTTGGATTTATCGAACGTATGGGTCAAACTGTATGCGTAGATGGCTTGACGGAAATGGTAGCAGAAGGTGAATGTTTAACTTTTGTTGCACACATATCCAGATGACGCTGCGTACTATTTTGCGCAATGACGCTATCGGTGTGATCAAGGCATTAATGTAACTCTGGCTCTATGATATTATGAATGAGGTCTCTCACTTTAGGTAACGCCTCATTAGGGGCGGAGTCTAGGAAGATCCAATCTCACAACGTCTGTTGTAGACATACAGGAGCAACGGCCAATAGTGGACCACTGCACTTCCTATATAATGGTCTGTAGTCTTCTCCAATCTTCACTTCTAAGTACATGTTCGTCTTCCTTACACAAACCGTCAAGAGTAACAAGGTGAGAGACAGCATAATATCATAGAACCGGGGTTACATTAGGTAACCTTAAGTTATTTTTTAAATTTGGTCTCTCACTTTGGGGATATAGCCAACCCCCGTAGAGCTCATATACTCTCTGAAGCCAAATCTAGACAGGATCAACCCTCAGAAGTCCTGACACTAAGCACCGTATGCGCTAATGAAGGCGCAGTGACATCCAGTCGGTAGAACCTCATGAAGATATGGGAGGTACCCCAACATGCCGCATTGCAGATCTCTTGAACAGAGATGCCTCTGAACAATGCCCATGATGTAGCCACACCTCTGGTGGAGTGAGCCCTCAAGCCCTCCGGAGGTGTTAAGCCATTGCTGTTATATGCCATTATAATAGCCTCCACTATCCAATGGGATAAATGCTGTCGAGAAATGGGCCTCCCTGCGTGGAAAGGTGGCCAAGAGACAAAGAGCTGATCGCTCTTTCGTAGGGCTCTCATCCTGTCCATGTAGATGCGCAATGTGTGCACTGGACACAAGCGCTGGAGACAGGGGGGCAGGTAGCCTAGCGATTAAGTGTATTGAGCCAGTCACCAAAAGGTCGCTGGTTAGAATCCCAGAGCCGACTAGGTGAAAAATCGGTCCATGTACCCTTGAGCAAGGCACTTAACCCTAATTGCTCCTGTAAGTCGCTCTGGATAAGAGCGTCTGCCAAATGACTTAAATGTGAAATGAGACACTCTTCCTCCATGGAGGAGAAAGGCAGTGGGTGAAATGCCAACAGCTCTAAAATGAGGCGATTATAAGCACTACTATCTTAAGGCACAAAAGAGAGGTTAGCTTGTTAGGTAACCTTGGATAACCCTGGGGCAAAGTGTAGGCACGAGTGGTGGACTGACACTCCTTTTGTGGATGTAATGGCTAAAAGTAAAGACTCCAACACCATAATTAAGTTTGCCGACGACACAACGGTGGTAGGCCTGATCACCGACCACGATGAGATAGCCTACAGGGAGGAGGTCAGAGACCTGGCAGTGTGGTGCCAGGAAAACAACCTCTCTCTTAACGTGATCAAGACAAAAGAGATGATCGTGGACTACAGGAAAAGGAGGGCCAAGGACGCCCCCATTCTCATCGATGGGGCTGTAGTGGAGCAGGTTGAGAGCTTCAAGTTCCTTGGTGTCCACATCACCGACAAACTATCATGGTCCAAACACACCAAGACAGTCGTGAAGAGGGAACGACAACGCCTATTCCCCCTCAGAAGACTGAAAATATTTGGAATTGTTCCTCAGATCCTCAAAACGTTCTACAGCTGCACCATCAAGAGCATCCTGACTGGTTGCATCACCGCCTGGTATGGCAACTGCTCAGCCTCCGACCGCAAGGCGCTACAGAGGGTAGTGCGTATGACCCAGTACATCACTAGGGCCAATCTTCCTGCCATCCAGGACCTCTATACCAGGCGGTGTCAGAGGAAGGCCCTAAAAATGTACGACAGGATATGTACGCTGCTCCACAACAGCAGTTTGTGGGCTAGACTAGTCCGTGCAGGAGCAGAGATCGGGTGCCACCCTGGAGGTTGATGTATTCCACTGCAGTCATATTGTCTGATCTGATCAGGGCATTACATTTCTGAATAAAAGGCAGAAATTGCTTTAGAGCTACAAGCACCGTAAGCAACTTGAGGTAGTTGATGTGAGTGAGACAGAGCTGTAGGTCACAATCCGATCTCAACTCTGCCCTTGTGAAATGCCCTCCACCCACCCTATGAGAGATTGTCTGTCGTCACCACCTTCCTCACAGCTACTACCCCTAGGGGAGGGCCTTTGGCGAAGCTCTCCAGTGGTGGAGAGCCGCAATGCAGGACGATGATACCGTTATCCCTCGTTTGAGGTGACAACAGGGACACAAGCGTTGGGATTACTGAGATGGTGGAGGCCATCAACCCCTAGTATATGGAGAACTGTTGTAGCACCCTCTGGTGGCGTTATAGGGATTTGCCTTTTGGTTATACTCTTGTGATGTGCCCTTTACGAAAAGTTTTAGTGCAACAGTAGTACCTTTATTTGAAAAGGCAGTGAACCCGGAACGGGGGCAGTGTTCATGGCAACTGAAACCTTGTCTTCATCAAACAAGGGTGTCGAGTGGAGAGCACTCGGGGAGGAAAGTGGGCTGCCTCCATCTTCCCTGTGTCTAGACACAAAATGATAGGTCGCAGCAAGGGAAAAGGGCTCTGACAAAATAGACGATAGAAATAGATGATAGAAATAGTAGGAACCAGAGAATGTCAAAGCATATAATTCAAACATTCAAGAGTGCTCAAAGGTTAAATTTGGCGTGACTGTCATTGTGCAATGCTTCGCATCGTCATCACATGCTCCAGGCTGCAGTAGCCTACCCATTTGGCTTGCATCTCCAAGTTTCATAACTGCAAGTTAAAAGGCCATTAGGTCACAGCTTTTTTTTACTTCACTTGGAACAAACAGGTTCGCTCGACCTTATTCATGGTTTCCTCATGCGTAAAAGTAGTGTTATTATGAGGGATTTAAGTCAAGGTCAGAATACTCATATCTGTAGACAGATCTCTGCCACACCTACATTTCTGTGATCTCTGGCACGTGTTTCCCCATGCTTAAGTTCAAGGTCAGACTACGCATTGAGAGAAAAGTGCATAAAAAGGAAATTAAGTTCCATTTACGTGCACATCACTTGGGTCTGAATTCCTCCCTATGTGCTTAATACCTGGCTACACACAATTAACACACATACACACACACACACACTTGGTGAGAAAAGGGAGAGATAGCTTGAGTTGTCCTCCGTCAGTGGGAGATGAACGTCCACAGTAAAATATAGATCAATGGGTAAACTGGCTTGACAAACCTGTTCAACAGGTGTCTTTATGGGGTAAAATTACCCTTTTCCTGCTTACCTGGTCTAGGAATCCAGCATGAAGTGAGAGGTAGGGTGCTGGGTAGGTAGCAAAGATCCCAGCTGTAGCCTTAGGGCCAGACACAGTCAGATTCCCTCCACAGTAGTGGTAAATGGCATCTGGAAATACAGTGACGAAGCAAGTTTCACAACATTGCACAGCACCTCATAACCATATTCAACCAAAACACTACTTCTATCTGTAGGATTTCAAGTGTTAAGGTTGGGAAATGTACATGTAGCTCAAACAATAATATTGAAACAAACATTTCCGGCCCTCATAGTGACATTTAATGCAAACAAGCGCTTCCTTGTACTGGCTGTATGATTTACCAAAGTGAACTGGTCATTGTCTTCTATGTTATCATTACGTTTTTACCATAGTAAAGGGAGTATATGGTCCCAGCCGCCAAGAAGGAGCCTATCAGCTGACTGAGGATATAGACAGGCAGCATCCTCCAACCCAAACGACCAAAGAGACACATGGAAAATGATACTGCTGCGTTCATATGGGCCCCTAGGAGGGAGAGGAAGAGAGAGAGCGAGAGAGAGAGAGAGAGAGAGAGAGAGAAGTATTTTCCTTTTGCACTTAAATGTGCTGTATAAGAGGCACCATTCATGAAAACGATTTAAAACATTACCCATGACAAAAGGAGGGGTGTTGTGTTACGTACCTGAGACCCTCCCGCCAATATGCACTCCCATAGTCACGCCCAGGCCGAAGCCCAGGTTGACACTGAGGTATTCTCCGAACGCACCCAGTCCAGTCACGACCTGCGCCACAGAGCCCAAGCCAAACACCTTGAATATAAACACAACATAAACACAACCCGTCAAAAACAGACATCCACAGAGGCAGTGGGAGAATTTATTACAATCATTTATTACAGCTGAATATATCCAAGCTGGTTTGTGGGTCTACATAATGTATTCCTTCTGGTGCATTTGGATTCAATTACTCAATTAAACAAAGGATTACTGTTAAAGTAAAAACATGTCACTTCATAAAACTTCCAACAAGCTTTGTCACAAGGCAAAAACACATGCCTTTAAAGGGGGGCTGAACTTCCTGATTTAGCCTCTGTTTCAATTCCTAGATTTGGGTCTTGGATGCGTGCTTTGATGTGAGTGTCTCTGGCAGTGGTGTCATGCCCATAGGGGGCACAAGAGCACGTTCCCCCTCAGATTTGTCCATTTTTTGTTCTTTTTCTGATGTTAAATTAATTATTAAACGTAAACATTATTGTTTATAAAAAAATCTGCCAGCGGTATTTTGCGGAGGGGGCACACTGACTGGACCAGGCCAAGAGTACCCCCCCCCCCCCCCCCCCCCCCCCCCCCCCCCCATTCTCCCCAGTAAGTGGTTCCTTCCAAGGTGCACCATGGAGCAAAGACACAGCATTTGATTTGATTTTAGCTGCCGATGATGGGCAGGACTCACAGGCGGTATGTTTGTAAATGAATTTGATCTAGCTATGTAGCCTATTGATTCCTTCTTGATGAATAAATAAAACTAAAATGTTTTGTTTTTTCAATGTAATACTAGCCACCTAGCCATTTTATGAAGTTGGCTTTAGCTAGCTAGCTAGATAGGTTCCCAATCTCCCAACCTCATAACTAGCTACCAAGCCATATCAGGCTATTAATCAACTTAGAGTAGTTTGTCTAAGTACGGTATCTTAGCTGGCACGCTGCTGGCAAAGTTGCTAGACTTTAGAAAAGTGTGTAATTACTAAATGTACTCAATAAGACTCACATTCCTTTCAACCTTTTATCCTGATTTTAGGGGGATGCAGACTGCTCAAGAGGTATGCAGAAACATATTTGGTTTAAATGTAATCTGGCACCTTATGATAATATCATGACATTTGTGTGTTAATTATGATGCCATGATATGTGCCTGTATTGATGTGTGGTATGATCCCATGTACTGTGTTGTAATTTGGATGTAACATCTTAGGCATGTTATTGCAGTATATTTAGATGTGTGATTTACAACAGTCAGAATGACACACTCATTAAAATGAAAATTGAACAGGTAAAGAGGTATGCTTTGATAACATATACAGAAAAATATACTTTTTTTTTTTTTTTACATATAATTAGACAGAATGATTATGGCTCTAGATTGCAGAAAAAACCTGTTTCAGGTGTTTGAAAAATGCTAAATGCTCCAACATCCTCCCTCCATCTTACATTTACATTTACATCATTTAGCAGACGCTCTTAACCAGAGCGACTTACAAATTAGTGCATTCAACTTATGATAGCCAGTGGGACAACCACTTTTTTTTATGGGGGGTGGGGGAAGAAGGATTACTTTATACTATTCCAGGTATTCCTTAAAGAGGTAGGGTTTCAAGTGTCCCCGGAAGGTGGTCAGTAACTCCGCTGTCCTGGCGTCGTGGGGGAGCTTGTTCCACCATTGGGGTGCCAGAGCAGCGAATAGCTTTGACTGGGCTGAGCGGGAACTGTGCTTCAGTAGAGGTAGGGGAGCTAGCAGGCCAGAGGTGGATGAATGTAGTGCCCTCGTTTGGGTGTAGGGTCTGATCAGAGCCATAAGGTAAGGAGGTGCCGTTCCCCTCACAGCTCCGTAGGCAAGCACCATGGTCTTGTAGTAGATGCAAGCCTCAACTGGAAGCCAGTGGAGTGTGCGGAGGAGCGGGGTGACATGAGAGAACTTGGGAAGGTTGAACACCAGACGGGCTGCAGCGTTCTGGATAAGTTGAAGGGGTTTAATGGCACAGGCAGGGAGCCCAGCCAACAGCGAGTTGCAGTAATCCAGACGGGAGATGACAAGTGCCTGGATTAGGACCTGTGCCGCTTTCTGTGTAAGGTAGGGTCGTACTCTGCAAATGTTGTAGAGCATGAACCTGCAGGAACGGGTCACCGCTTTGATGTTAGCGGAGAATGACAGGGTATTGTCCAGGGTCACGCCAAGGTTCTTTGCACTCTGGGAGGAGGACACAATGGAGTTGTCAACCGTGATGGCGAGATCATGGAGCGGGCAGTCCTTCCCCGGGAGGAAGAGCAGCTCCGTCTTGCCAAGATTCAGCTTGAGGTGGTGAACCGACATCCACACTGATATGTCTGCCAGACATGCAGAGATGCGATTCGCCACCTGGTTAGCAGAAGGGGGAAAGGAGAAAATTAATTGTGTGTCGTCTGCGTAGCAATGATAGGAGAGACCATGTGAGGATATGACAGAGCCAAGTAACTTGGTGTATAGAGAGAATAGGAGAGGGCCTAGAACTGAGCCCTGGGGGACACCAGTGGTGAGAGCATGTGGTGCGATTCTCGCCACGCCACCTGGTAGGAGCAACCTGTCAGGTAGGACGCAATCCAAGAGTGAGCAGCGCCGGAGATGCCCAACTCGGAGAGGGTGGAGAGGAGGATCTGATGGTTCACAGTATCAAAGGCAGCGGATAGGTCTAGAAGGGTAAGAGCAGAGGAGAGAGTGTTAGCAGTGCGGAGAGCCTCCGTGACACAGAGAAGAGCAGTCTCAGTTGAATGACCAGTCTTGAAACCTGACTGGTTTGGATCAAGAAGGTCATTCTGAGAGAGATAGCAGGATAGTTGGCTAGAGACGGCACGCTCAAGAGTTTTGGAGAGAAAAGTAAGAAGGGATACTGGTCTGTAGTTGTTGACATCGGAGGGATCAAGTGTAGGTTTTTTGAGGAGGGGTGCAATTCTCGCTCTCTTGAAGGCGGAAGGGACATGGCCAGCGGTCAAGGATGAGTTGATGAGCGATGTGAGGTAAGGGAGAAGGTCTTCGGAAATGGTCTGGAGAAGAGAGGAGAGGATAGGGTCAAGCGGGCAGGTTGTTGGGCGGCCGGCCGTCACAAGTCGCAAGATTTCATCTGGAGAGAGAGGGGAGAAAGAAGTCAAAGCATAGGGTAGGGCAGTGTGAGCAGGACCAGCGGTGTCATTTGACTTAATAAATGAGGATCGGATGTCGTCAACCTTCTTTTCAAAATGGTTGACGAAGTCATCCACAGAGAGGGATGAGGGAGGGGGAGGAGGAGGGTGATTCAGCAGGGAGGAGAAGGTGGCAAAGAGCTTCCTAGGGTTAGAGGCAGAGGCTTGAAATTTAGAGTGGTAGAAAGTGGCTTTAGCAGCGGAAACAGAGGAAGACAATGTAGAGAGGAGGGAGTGAAAAGATGACAGGTCCGCAGGGAGTCTAGTTTTCCTCCATTTCTGCTCGGCTGCCGGAGCCCTCTTCACATACTTTGTTTGTACTTTCACTCTGCCAAAACAGTACACAGTTACAGTACTCACCCTTCTAGATAACTTGAAACAGTATAACCAGGTCTTGTGTCTGGAAGTAGCCTAGACTAGCTAACAAGCTAGCTAACTTCCTTCGCCAATTAGCTTCAGCCAGCCGGTGTGCCACCATGGCAAAGTTGGTTTAACTTTGGATAGCCTAGTGGCGCTAGTTAGGGACCGTCAATAAATTATACAATGTAAATGTGACAATATTTTAATGTTGCACATCTTTTAGCTGTCTCATTAAATGCTTTAAATATTTGTATCTGAATTTCTACAATTTATAGTTGTTTGAGGTTTTTAAGTCATTGAAATTTGGAGCTATTAACATTTAAAATGTACATTCCGTAATTTACTGATGGTAATTATTACGTCTTATCCTTGAAATCTGTCAACTCATGAGTGATGTACTTAATTAGTTATAAGAATATAATCAGCTTAGGGGGATGTGGTTATTGTATGAATATTGTATCATATGTAGGTTACTAAGGTAATGAACTACTTCCAACCCACACATATGCCCCAAGGTTACTCTTACATTTTTACATTTTAGTCATTTAGCAGACGCTCTTATCCAGAGCGACTTACAGTTAGTGAGTGCATACATTTTAATACTGGCCCCCCGTGGGAAACAAACCAACAACCCTTGCGTAGCAAGCGCCATGCTCTACCAACTGAGCTACAGGGATCTTTTGGATCAACTCCCCAAAAATACTTTCACTGATTACTAGTAAATTCGTTTTTGAAACCAAATATATGATTCAATGCCAACTGTTTAATTTGATTAGTTTCCAAACATATTCTTCAGTAGCCACACTATCATAACCAAGCATTGACTACCGTAAAATAGAAACCATTTTAGGCTCTTTAGTATCAAATGTAATTATGCCAGTATCATTACAGATGCTAGCTGTGAACACCAACTACAAGATACCACTTTAACTGGAATGACATTAACTCTCATGGGTGTGCAAAAATAACCAACTGAAAGCCACGACCCCAGTAAGCCATGCCTCCAACTCTTCTGATAGGCTACATTTCCCCCACCGCAATTCAAAGCGAATGCGCATGAGGTGTTGAAAGCATTTTAGAAGCTTTCATTCAATTAAAAAAATCACATTGATCTGTAGAATTTGTTATTTGATTTCAGACACATTTAATAGAATAGGTTGAACGAACCAAAGCGTATTTTTCAATCATTCCAATTAGTAAAAGCACTTCAGATTAACAACAGCGTCGTCCCACTTTTTACAGTGTAGGTAAATCACAAAGGAAAGGGAAAGCTCCTTATACAATTACTGTATAGTAGTAAAGACAATATCCCACTACTACCACGTGTGTGTCTTCTGAGTGTGTCCTAAGCTCTAAGAATAGAATTTGTTGGCAGGCATGTGACAAACAGGCAGCAGACCCCGGCTATGAGACTATTGACTGCTTTCCCTAGGGACCCAAGACCACATGTCTGGGACTGTGTGTGTGTGTGTGTGTGAGAGAGAGAGGTGAGAGAGAGAGCGAGTGCTTGCGGCCAACTGGCCAGCCATGTTATCACAGGGTCAAGAGCATGACAGTGACAACCAATGCCACATGATAAGCATCTACATGGGGATCTTATTGCATCATGCAATTTGTATAGGAATTCCAAGCAGAATCACAGTTGACTGGAAATCAATCAATGAATAGAGACACTAGTAGTAATACTAGTAGTAATAAACTAGTAATACTAAATACCTTTAAATACAACATTTTATTAATTTATTTGTCATCCTTTTTTTATTCATTTATAATCCTCGTCTTTCTGGAAATATGCAACAACCAAAACATATAACATGCAAATGTAAATGTAAAATTCAAATAAGCAAGGGAGTAAGGGCGAGGCCAGACAGACCCGTGGATGTGGACACCAAATTACAACGGATACATGTTGCTCCGTGCGTGTGTGAAGTTTGTGACGTAAAACGCCTCCTCTTTTCTAATTGGCTAAACGGACGATTACGTTTCCGTCGGCCCGTCAAAACTTCAACTCATCTGAACTTTTTGTCCGTGAAAATAAGTTGACGGTCAACGTATGACTCCCATTGAGAAATTATTAGAAATCACGGATACGGATAAATCAACGGGCCAGTCTGGCCTCGCCCGTAAGAAGTGAGAGGTTGATGGTGTCCTCTAACCCTTTCTCTCTCTCTCTTTCTCTCTTTCTCTCTCTTTCGCTTACCATCATGACATAGGTGCTGAGGGTTTCTGCGAGTCCCACTCGAACATATTCATTTATCACCCAGATCTTGGACAGTTTTCTACTTCTTCCATGCTCTTGAACGCTCCCCTGCTCCATCGCATGCATTGATTATTTTATGTTTCTCTGTCTGTCTTCTATGCCCGCTGCTTGTCTTTCTCTTATTTTCAGAGAGTCACACTCAGTCCTTTGTAGTTTGTCAATGTATATGGAAGAATTTGGGCAACGACCCTCAAAATCGCAATCGACACACAGCCTTGTTTGTATCTCTTTCTCTTTCCACTTCCCTTTCTCTCGCTTCCTTTTCTCACTGGCGTGGTCATCACTCATGGTTTGTATTTTATGGCCTCCTTTCTCCTCCCACCTTCCCCCTCTCACATACCCTCTTTCCTCCACACACACAGTCACACACACACACCCTACAACGGACCAATGTCTGGGAGGGGTGTTTGCTTAAGGGGGAGGGGCAGAAAAACAATGTGGCTTGTCACAGAGAAATCTTCCAAATCCAATGTGCCGAATACAACAATATTGTATGCTTACTTAGGAGCCCTTTCCCAACGATGCAGAGTAATAAAATAAATAATAATAACATAAAATAAATTAACGCTACTCCTGAGTGGCGCAGTGGTCTAAGGCACTGCATCGCAGTGCTAACTGTGCCACTAGAGATCCTGGTTCGAATCCAGGCTCTGTCGCAGCCGGCCACGACCGGGAGACTCATGGGCGGCGCACAATTGGCCCAGCGTCGTCCAGGCTAGGGGAGGGAATGGCCGGCAGGGATGTAGCTCAGTTGATAGAGAATGGCGTTTGCAACGCCAGGGTTGTGGGTTTGATTCCCACGGGGGGCCAGTATAAAAAAATAAAAAAATAAAAATATGTATTCACTAACTGTAAGTCGCTCTGGAAAAGAGCGTCTGCTAAATGACTAAACATGTAAAAATGTAAATGTAAATAAATAAAAATACACAACAATGAAGCTATATACAGAGAGTACCAGTACCAGATCAATGTGCAGAGGTACGATATATTTGAGGTTGATATGTACTTGAAGGCATGGTATACAGTGGGGAGAACAAGTATTTGATACACTGCCGATTTTGCAGGTTTTCCTACTTACAAAGCACGTAGAGGTCTGTAATTTGTATCATAGGTACACTTCAACTGTGAGAGACAGAATCTAAAACAAAAATCCAGAAAATCACATTGTATGATTTTTAAGTAATTAATTTGCATTTTATTGCTTGCCATAAGTATTTGATCACCTACCAACCAGTAAGAATTCCTGCTCTCACAGACCTGTTAGTTTTTCTTTAAGAAGCCCTCCTGTTCTCCACTCATTACCTGTATTAACTGCACCTGTTTGAACTCGTTACCTGTATAAAAGACACCTGTCCACACACTCAATCAAACAGACTCCAACCTCTCCACAATGGCCAAGACCAGAGAGCTGTGTAAGGACATCAGGGATAAAATTGTAGACCTGCACAAGGCTGGGATGGGCTACAGGACAATAGGCAAGCAGCTTGGTGAGAAGGCAACAACTGTTGGCGCAATTATTAGAAAATGGAAGAAGTTCATGACGGTCAATCACCCTCGGTCTGGGGCTCCATGCAAGATCTCACCTCGTGGGGCATCAATGATCATGAGGAAGGTGAGGGATCAGCCCAGAACTACACGGCAGGACCTGGTCATTGACCTGAAGAGAGCTGGGACCACAGTCTCAAAGAAAACCATTAGTAACACACTACGCCGTCATGGATTAAAATCCTGCAGCGCACGCAAGGTCCCCCTGCTCAAGCCAGCACATGTCCAGGCCCGTCTGAAGTTTGCCAATGACCATCTGGATGATCCAGAGGAGGAATGGGAGAAGGTCATGTGGTCTGATGAGACAAAAATAGAGCTTTTTGGTCTAAACTCCACTCGCCGTGTTTGGAGGAAGAAGAAGGATGAGTACATCCCCAAGAACACCATCCCAACCGTGAAGGTGGAAACATCATTCTTTGGGGATGCTTTTCTGTAAAGGGGACAGGACATCTGCACCATATTGAGGGGAGGATGGATGGGGCCATGTATCGCGAGATCTTGGCCAACAACCTCCTTCCCTCAGTAAGAGCATTGAAGATGGGTCGTGGCTGGGTCTTCCAGCATGACAACGACCCGAAACACACAGCCAGGGCAACTAAGGAGTGGCTCCGTAAGAAGCATCTCAAGGTCCTGGAGTGGCCTAGCCAGTCTCCAGACCTGAACCCAATAGAAAATCTTTGGAGGGAGCTGAAAGTCCATATTGCCCAGCGACAGCCCCGAAACCTGAAGGATCTGGAGAAGGTCTGTATGGAGGAGTGGGCCAAAACCCCTGCTGCAGTGTGTGCAATCCTGGTCAAGACCTACAGGAAACGTATGATCTCTGTAATTGCAAACAAAGGTTTCTGTACCAAATATTAAGTTCTGCTTTTCTGATGTATCAAATACTTATGTCATGCAATAAAATGCAAATTAATTACTTAAAAATCATACAATGTGATTTTCTGGATTTTTGTTTTAGATTCCTCTCTCACAGTTGAAGTGTACCTATGATAAAAATGACAGACCTCTACATGCTTTGTAAGTAGGAAAACCTGCAAAATCTGCAGTGTATCAAATACTTGTTCTCCCCACTGTAGATAATAACAAGAGTAAAAAAGGAACAGAGTAGCAGCAGCGTTTATGATGAGTGTGAAAGTATGTGTGTATGAGTGTGTGTGTGTGTGTGTGTGAGAGAGAGAGAGAGAGAGAGTGTTAGTGTGGTGTGTGTGAGTCTGTGGGTGGAGTCTTGTGAGTGTGCATAGGGTCAGTGCAAAAATAAGGTCAATGCAGATAGCCTGGGTAACCATTTTGATTAACTATTTAGCAATTTTGTGGATAGCCGCTGTCACAGAGCCAGTTGGGCGGAGACAAAAATGCTCCGGTGCCACTTGCCGGACGGTAGCAGGGAGAACAGTATTGGCTTGGGTGGCTAAAGTCTTTGGCAATTTTTCGGGCCTTCCTCTGACACCGCCTGATATAGAGGTCCTGGATGGCAGGAAGCTCGACCCCAATGATGTACTGGGCCATCCGCACCACCCTCTGTAGTGCTTTGCGGTCGAGGGCAGTGCAGTTGCCATACCAAGTGGTGATGCAGCCAGTCAAGATGCTCTCAATGGTGCAGATGTAGAACTTTTTGAGGATCTGGGCCAAATCCAAATCTTTTCAGCCTCCTGAGGGGGAGGAGGTGTTGTCGTGAATACTTCATGACTGTGTGGTAAGTCCTTAGTGATGTGGACACCAAGGAACTTGAAGCTCTCGACCCGCTCTACTACAGCCGAGTCGATGTGGATAGAGGTGTGTTCGCCCCCCTGTTTCCTGTAGTCCACGATCAGATCCTTGGTCTTACTGACGTTAAGGGAGAGGTTGTTGTCCTGGCACAACACTGCCAAGTCTCTGACTTCCTCCCTGTAGGCTGTCTCATCGGCATCGGTGATCAGGCCTACCACCGTTGTGTCATCTGCAAACTTGATGATGGTGTTGGAGTCATGCGTGGCCACGGAGTCGTGGGTGAACAGAGAGTACTTGGTGATGAGTTTGAAGGAGACTATGGTGTTCAACGCTGAGCTGTAGTCAATGAACAGCATTCTCACATAGCTATTCCTCTCAGGTGGGAGAGAGCAGTGTGAAGTGCAATTGAGATTGTGTCATCTGTGGATCTGTTGGGGCGGTATGTGAATTGGAGTGGGTCTAGGGTGTCTGGGATTTAAAAGCACTTCATGATTGCAGATGTGAGTGCTATGGGACGATAGTCATTTAAGCAGGTTACCTTGAAGCTCTTGGGAACAGGGACAATGGTGGTCACTTGAAACATTATGAGATTATAGACTTGGACAAGGAGAGATTGAAAATGTCCGTTAGGACACTTGCAAGCTGGTCTGCGCATGCTCTAATAACGCACCCTGGTATTCCGTTGGACCCAGCGGCCATGTGAGTGTTAACCTGTTTAAAAGTTACTCACATCAGCCACGGAGAGCGAGATCCCACAGTTGTCTGGAACAGCAGGGGCTCTCATGACTCAGTGTTGTTTACCTCGAAGCGAGCATAAAAGGCATTCAGTTCGTTAGGGAGGTCTGTGTCACCGGGCAACTCACGGCTGGGTTTCCCTTTGTAATCCATAATCGTCTGCAAGCCCTGCCACATCCAACGAGCGCCAGAGCCGGTGTAGTAAGATTAAATTTTATTCCATTTTATTCCTATAGTGTTCTTTTTCATGATTGATGGGATTTATTGTACGTCTGTGTCCCATTCCTTGAAAGCGGTAGCTCTAGCCTTTCATTTTATTCCTATATTGTCCTTTTTCATGTTTGATGGCTCGTCGGAGGTCGTAGCAGGATTTCTTGTATGTCCGTGTTCCATTCCTTGAAAGCGGTAGCTCTAGCCTTTAGCCCAGCGCGTTGCCAAATTAACTGTTTGGCTACTGGTTCTGTACCACAGGGTGTTATAATGCATGTTACAGAATAGAGACTATACGGAATAGAGACAGAATAGAGTTTCACTTCTATCGTGATTGTATGATAAATGCACCATTAGATATTACTTTCCTCCTGATCTGAGATCAGATATAAAATCATCAAAGAGATGTCCCACTGGGCACACCACATCATTTTAACTAAATAATTGGGTAATATTTGGTTGAGACATTGATCAATGAGATTACAACCTATATTCACCCTCTAAAAAAGACTGCCAAAAGTCAGTTGAATTTACAATGTGTTATCACTATGCTTTCAACCATCTAAAAGCACAACCAAATTCCAATGGAAAAACAATATCAGATTTTTGGTTTAGTTGTCACCCAAATGTCTATCACTGTGCTTTCAATCATTTAAAAGCACAGCAAAGTTAAAATGGGAATACAATGTCAGATATTTTGTTTATTTATACAACAGATTAATGTGTTATCAATGTGCTTCATCTAATAGCAGAACAAATGGCAGTTAAGATTACGAGTCAGTACAGATTATTACAGTAAATCTTTTTTTGTACTTCAATTGGTAGTTACAGTCTTGTCCCATCGATGCAACTCCCGTACGGACTCGGGAGAGGCCTAAGGTCGAGAGCCATGCGTCCTCCGAAACACGACCCTGCCAAGATGCACTGCTTCACCCCCAGAAGCCAGCTGCACCAATGTGTCAGAGGAAACACCATACAACTGGTGACCGAAGTCAGCTTGCAGGCGCCCAGCCCGCCACAAGGAGTCACTAGAGCGCGATGGGACAAGGACACCCCGGCCAGCCAAACCCTCCCCTAACCTGGACAACACTGGGCCAATTGTGCACCGCCTCATGGG